GGGTTTCTATTATTAAAATGCTTATTAAACAAGTATAAATACAAATTATTTTTGATTTAAAATTCATTGCTCCCAAGCTTATTTTTAAAATATTTTCTTCTAAACGTGATGTGTTTTAAATAATGGACACTTGTGCCCCCAATTGCTTGGAAGCTGGTTCTAAAAAGATTAATAAAATAAGTCACATTTGAATTGCAAACACATCTGATACAACACCTTATTAGTTAGTGTCAGTGTTCTCAAGGAAGAGCCTAAAATGAAGAAATTTATTGAGAAAATTAAACAGACTTATCGTTATGACTCCCAAAAACACCTTGAATCTGAGATCAAGAAATATTAAACACCACAACTAGCAAATTACAATATGGAGAGCACAGCATTAAGTCAGCTTAAAGCGGAAATACCTTTGAATGGGAGCAACGGTAATGGTTTGAGATTGCCGTGTACAGTTTGGAGTTTGCTCTGCCCCAGCCCACATGTGCATTCTGCACAGGAAAACAAATCCAGATGAAGATATCAAAAAAAAAAAAAAAAAAAAAAAAAAAAAAAAAAAAAAAAAAAACAGTAAATTAGAAAAAATTAGAACGCATTTTGTACTTCATTTCTTTGAAACTGTCCCTATAAATTTATGACATTAAGGGGCCCGACAATAAAAAGCTGTAGTATAAAGATATGCTGTAGACTAAACACTAAAACCATTAACTACTGCTTCATCCAAAAAAGTGCACGAGCATAAACAGAAACTCGAGCATCTTACATCATCAAATTTGGGGGTTTGCAGCAACACTGAATCCTAGGCCATCCCTTGCTTCATCACATGTTAAACTTATGTACAACTCAGCAAGCTAGAGGCTCAGACAACAATGCGCAATTCAGCACCCATTTTGAAAGTTTCATAACTCAGCTTGCCTCAGCAATACTTGGAAGAATGGACTGAAAAAAGTAATATGAAAGCCTAATGACTTCATCCAACACACATGAGAGGAAAAGATGCATTAGTTTTCTATATCCCTAATTTCATATTCTAGCACAACATTTTTTCATGGTTTTTAAAAGTTTTGGAATGATGAGATGACGAAAACCATTACCGATTTATGACCAAAGTTCAAGTTGCTGACAATGTAAAAAGCAAAGAAGGTAACTATAAACTATGAGAAGATAGACTTACCAGAGAAAAGCAGCCACATATTATAGAAGCAGACCTCATTTTGAACAGCATGTATTAAATGTGCCTTCTTACTAAGGGCTTCAATTTGCAGCCAAGTGGCATAAGCCCTAATGGGAAAAAGAACAACTGCAGCTTGGTCTTGCCTCCTGCACTGACTCTTCTGATCTACTGCTATTTGAAGAGGTAATTGATGATTTTAGTTTAAAACGAAAGGTAAATTTTTTAATGGGGGTTCTATTAAATGCCTCCTTAAACCAATAGAATAAGTTCCAATTAGCACCAAAAACACTGTAAATTGTAAAGAAAAAACCACAATTACTAATTATGAGGTGTTCACGACATACAAATTGAACCTTAGTGTTGCCTCTTAGTTTACAGCCCAAACCATTCATATAACTCTGTGAGACTCTGCCGCAAATAAATCCGAACTCCATTTCCAGTAATACTTTTAAACAAATGTATTAATCCAAGAAGCTTAGTTCTTTTTCTTTTCCTTTCTAACAAAAACAAGAAAACGGCTTTTAACTCCATTAACGCCGCGCGCGCACACACACAAAACAGTTTTCAATTGAATTGAGCTTAAATTGCATTCACAGTGTGGGTGGAGAAGCCAAATATGACAAAGGAAATAAAGCCATGTTGCAATTGCTAAACCTTGCTAAATGATAACCAATTCCAAGTCCCTAAGACTTCCAAATCAAATTCTATTCATTACTTTTTACTATTTGAAGAACTTTCTCCATCAGTTAATTTTCACCTTCAGTCCCCCTCAATCTTCCTCCAAAATCTGATCCTAAATAAACCAAAAAACTGTATAACTTTTAGATGGGATTCTTCGTTAGCCTCCCGGTTGATTTCTCCAAATTCACCTAAAGTTTAGGAGTTTCAGTTTAGTGCAGAGACTGAAAACAAACCACCTCCAAATTAAAACATCCATTATAATTATATCCACACACCTGACGGTATGTTGCCGGGGTAGGCGACAGGACTCCAAGTCAGTGAAGACATCCTCATGCACAATGACAGAATGACCTGAAAATGCAACATTTATTGCCTAAAAAATAATAATATGATACATTACTCGCAAGCACCCACAACAAAACATTAAGGCATATGTTTGTTGTATATGCAAATTCGTGAAGAACCACATGTTATTGCTGGCGACATCAAACAATGAAACATTAAAAACACTTAGCGCAGAGTGTCAGGCATGAAAAGATTCTAAAAGCCGTTTTTCTAGCTTATTCGAGCTGAAAAAAAAACCCAGATCGTGGTTTGGGAATTGAAAACCAATATAAAACTTGTTTCACCACAAATATTGAAAACAACAATGCTCTAGCAGACTTCAGATCATACAATCAAAAAATTTATACATTGTAAGCAATTTTTCCCAAACATTTAGATTTTTGGCAATCGAAATTCGTTTAAAACTTGTTTGATTTTCTCTATCCTTTTATTTCTTCATACAAATTAAGTTAAATTTCCAAGTGTAAATAGGGTATCCCTTCTCTCCACAATATCAGCAGAAATTAAACAGGAGAGAGGGAGAGAGATTTTTTCCCGAAAAATTACACAGACAAACTCGTTAACACTACGATCCAATCATAGGGTGATAAAAGAAAGAAATAATTGTATTTTCTCACCATCACGTTTGGATGATTAAGAAAACAAAATATGTGAGAGAGATATTCATGAGATTTCTTTTCTTCCTTAACGAAGGAACAACCTTGGTATTATAAGGCCTGGTTTGACATATGTAAAAAAAGTCAAAAAGTTACTCAAAAATTTAAAAAGTTATCACTATTCACCAAAAAAAATATTAAAAAATTTAGGCCAAATTTAAGAAGACTAAATAAGTCTATACTTTTTATCTTTTTATCTTTTTTGGGTCACATCAATCAATATCTCCTCTCTACTTTTCTACACATCTTTTTATAAAAAGTCAAAAAGTGCACTTATTTAGAACATCCCAAACAACCCCTTAATTTCACACACAAAATTACAAGTCAATCTTTTCAAAATCAGATCTGTGGCTGCGTTTTTTAAGAAAAATTGCACAGTTTGAGTGTAATTTTAACACACTTCTGTTCAGCCCGTTAGGGCCATCACTGGTCCCATTTTGATAATCTGAACCGTTCAATATGTAGAACTCGTCGGGTACTATATGTATGTAAAAAATTACATTGATCGGATATAGGTAACTACATGATCAAATCAGTTTTGTATAAAAAAATGGATAGTGTTATAATTAACGGTTGAAAAAAATTAATCTAATCAGATAGCTATCGATATCCGATCAACGTGATTTTTTACAAGGATATAGTACTTAACGAGTTCTACACATTGAATGGTTCAGATTATCAAAACGGGACCCGTGATGGCCCCCTACAGGCCGAACAGCACCCTCCAATGCAATGCCCGAAAAGTAACTAATCATTTTTTAGCATCAATTCAGCGGCGTAAATAGTACGACCGTACAACTCACACTCCTAATCTTCTTCCACACACTAATTTATACAATTTTTTAATACATATTTTTCCATAAAAAGTAAAAAGTTAACCCAGTCAACCATCTTTTTTTTGTCAACTTTTTAGTCCAAAAAGTAAAAAATTCACTTATTTGACGATCAATCAACTTGTTTCTCGCCAAATTTCACCACTTTTGGTGGGCAATAAACATTCACTCAACTTACAAACCAAACATGAGAAAAGAGTTCACTTTCTCATAAGTTCTAATTATTTCTCGCCAAATCACTCCATCCAAACAAAGTGTAAAACTTGTTCAGTTTCTTTATCCTTTTATTTCTTCACACAAATTAGGTTAAATTCCTAGCGTAAATAGGTATCTCTTCTCCATCACAATATCATGAAAAAAAGAGAACGAGACATAAATTGTCCCGGAAACGATTTAGCATCAAAAAACAACAAACTCGTTAAAACAAGTTCATATTCTCTCTATCATTTTTATCTCTTCATACAATACAAATTAGGTTAAATTCCTAGAGTAAACAAGTATCTCATAAAAGGAGATAGAGAGAGAGAGAGAGAGAGAGAGAGAGAGAGAGATAGAGAAATTTTCCGGAAAGTTATTGGTGGAAACGATTTTCCGTCAAAAACAGAGAATTTACATCAACATCGATGAGAATGAACAATTAGATGGTTCGGTTCGTACCTGAAAGCAGAGATTGGAGAGGAATGAGTCGAATCGGAGCTGAGATACAGACTATGTCCGTGTGTCTCTATAGTTGAGAAGACGGAGGGTTCGGGGGATTCAGATGAGAGAGAGAGAGAGAGAGAGAGAGAGAGAGGTGATTGGTTTTGTGATATGTTAATTACACCAACGCCCCTAAAGTATTAGGGTTGTTGTTGGAAGTGCTCCATTAGTATAATTTTTTATTTTTTATGAAAAAATATAAAATATGAATTGAATTTAAAGTGATTTGATAAAAGAGTAATGGTCCTGTTTGGTAGGGTTTTTTTTTAACTTATTTCAGTTTTTGACTTAATTTAAGCTATTTTGATGTGTTTAGTTCAGTTTAACAATACAGTTTATAGCTTTTTGTAAGTCAAAAATCAACTTATTCTTTGAGTGGAGGAGGAGAAACTTAATTTATAAGTCAAAAATTAGCTTATGTTCATAGTTATAAGGTATAAGTTGTTACGTTATGAGTTATAATCACTTTCCCACAGCTCTACCAAACGGGACCAATATAAATTAAATAAAATAATTATAACCTAAATAAGATAATGTTTAAAATAATATTTGTTATTTTAATACATGTCAAATAATAACTTACACTTTAATGATGAAAATATATTACTTTTACTTTTTTTACATCACTCGAAGCATTTTCAACCTTTACTCTTTTTTTCAATAAATTTAAATAAAAATTTCATTTGATAGAGAGTGTTGCAATAGAAAATTTTCATTTTTAATCAAACCATTGATTGAATGGAAGGACAACCTAGAGGGTATCTGGTCGGTCAATCATAAGTAGGAAATAGGGGTAGGCGCGGGTCGGTTGCGGTCACGGAACCTCCAATCCGTCATCCGTCCGCCAGATTGGCGGATTGGAGAAAATCAACCCACATCCCTCTGCTAGTCTGGCAGATGTGGATTGAGTGGATTGGCGATTTGGCGGATGGATGCGAATCGGTTTGACGGTTTAAAATTTTATAAATTTTCAACATAATTCAACTTGTGCACTTCCTCAAAAAAAAAGAAAAAAAAAAGAAGAAGAAAGTATTACAGTCAATGACTTAAAAAAATATTACAATCACTGCATGCCTCATCCAAATGTCGTTATGGGCTGAAGTGGAACCAGTCTGCACAGAACGTGCAGCCGAACAGCCGAACAACCGTGATCTCCGCTAACTTCGCCCCTGGTCGGTTTCAACTCACAACCGGAGTGGCCTTTGGGAAAGATTATCCTGCCGATCAAAGCGGGATCCGTAGTCAAGCAAGTGGAGTTTTGGGTGCTGCAAGTACCATCCACTTATAACCTGATCCTTGGAAGATGATGGTTTCACGCGATGCAAGCCGTGGCGTCGATCTACCATCAGGTAATGAGATTTCCCTCGGCTGTGGGGGCAATCGAAGAAATTTGGGGAGATCAAGTCATGTCAAAGCAGTGCTTCATGGCAGTCAATGGGAGCCGGGCTGCCAAATGCTTTGTTCAAATGATAGAAGGACCGGGAGACCAGGGAGTTCTTGAGGATGTGGGCACCAGGGCAGAGGACAAAGCCGTTGAGGAATTAGTGGAAGTGCAAATTGATACAGAGCATCCAGACAAGTTCTTCCTGCTCGACTCCAGCCTTACTACCCGAGAAAGGACTGAAATTGTGGAGTTTTTGATGGCCAACATCGAGGTCTTCGCATGGTTGCCTTACGACATGCCCGGCCTTGATCCAAGTTTTATCTATCATCACCTCAATGTCTTTCCCAGAGCAAAGCCGGTCATTCAGCGAACAAGGAGGTCAGCGCTGCATCACGCCGAGGTAGTTGCGAAGGAAGTGAAAAACTTGCTCGAGGCACGAGCAATTCAGGAAGTGCACTACCCTCGGTGGATTTCCAACACCGTAGTGGTGCCCAAGAAGAATGGGAAGTGGCGAGTTTGTGTCGATTACAAGACAGTCAACCGAGCATGTCCGAAAGATAGCTTCCCTTTTCCCCGCATTGACCAGCTCGTGGACTTGACGGCTGGACATAATAGGCTCAGCTTCTTGGATGCCTATCGCGGCTACCATCAGATTGCCATACATGGGCCCGACCGAGAGATCACCTCCTTCACGACTCCAAGAGGACTCTTCTGCTACCGAGTTATGCCTTTTGGTTTGAAGAACGCCGGAGCAACCTTTCAGAGGATGGTGACTAAGATGTTTGCTCTGTTGCTTGGCCGGACAATGGAGGCTTACATTGATGATATGGTGGTTAAAAGCCGGCATCAAGCAGACCACTTGTCTGACTTGGCCGAGATGTTCACCATTCTCAAAAAGCATAAGCTACGCTTGAATGCGTCTAAGTGCGCCTTTGGTGTGGGGTCCGAAAAATTTATGGGATTCCTAGTCACGAACCGAGGCATAGAAGCAAACCCCTCTCAGATTATAGCCGTGTAGGAGTTGAAACAGCCCAGCTCGGCTAAGGACGTGTAGCATCTGGCCGGAATGGCCGCCGCGCTTAATCGATTTATAAGCCGGTCATCAAATCGCTGCCGCCATTTCTTTCAGGCATTGAAATCAAAGTTCTCGTGGGATGAAGAGTGTGACCGGGCTTTGGCCGAGCTCAAAGAATATCTGTCTTCTCCGCTAATATTGGTTACACTGAAGCCAGGCGAGGAACTCTATCTTTACCTTGCCGTCTCACAGCATGCAGTCAGTGCGGTGCTAGTCCGAGCTAAAGGAATTAAGCACCTCCTAATCTTCTACGTCAGTAAAACCTTACTGCCGGCAGAGTCAAGATACTTGCCGTTGGAAAAGCTTGCGTTGGAATTGATGATGACTTCAAGGAAGTTGGCGCACTATTTCCACGCCCATACCATCATCGTACTGACGGAGTTTCCCTTTAAGGCCTTGTTTGAACGGGCAAACTTCTCTGGCCGAATTCTCAAGTGGGCGGTCGAATTAGGTCAATTTGATGTTAAGTTCCAGCCGCGCACTGCTATAAAAGCCCAGACCTTGGCCGATTTCGTTGCGGAATTCTCACCTGGAACTAATCCGGTGTGTCCGGTCGACATTGCCGCGGCAGATGATGAGGTGAATGTAAGCACAATCGAGACACAACAACTTGGTGGAGTTGGCGACGCGGATTTTGCACGCCCCTCTGAAACACCCTCAGTCTGTACAAATCCACCGCCTGGTGATGTGATGACGGAATTGGGTATCACCAACCAACCTGCTCTGTCCGGTACCGCATCACAAAGGGGGAAAGAAATGGAAGCATTCAGCACAGAGCCTGCAGCCGGCATAATACCGCAACCTGGAGATTCGCCTACGGACTTGGGCATTAAAGATCAACTTGCTGAGCCCGGTGCCGAATCACCGAGGGGGGCTGAAGTGGAACCAGTCTGCACAGAACGTGCAGCCGAGTAGCCGAACAACCGTGATCTCATCGACCTTCGAAACTCTCACGACCCTTCAGAATGTTGGAAGCTCTTTGTCGGGGAGATGTGGAAACTTTTTGTTGATGGAGTGTCGAACCGTTACGGCGCCGGGCTAGGTATCGTTCTTATCTCGCCGGATGGCCTGACTATTGAACACTCTATTACCCTTGGCTTCCCAGCATCCAACAATGAGGCCGAGTATGAGGCACTTTTGGCCGGGCTCAAGAGCGCGATTCAGATGCAAGCATCCGAGCTAATTGTATACAGTGACTCCCAGCTTGTGGTTAACCAAGTCTCTGGGGTTTACGAATCAAAGGATGACAGAATGGCGAAGTACCAAGCCCTGGTTAGGGACCAAATCAGGCGATTTCAAGCGATCAGGGTCCACCAGATTGGCCGAGAAGAAAATGGCCGAGCAGATGAGTTGGCAGGCCTTGCTTCCATGGTCGATAGCGCATCTCCCAACCCTCTTTTGATTGAATTCCTTCTGAGACCCAGCATTGAGGAAGCCGGGCAGACAGAAGTACTGTGCGCCGAGCTAGGTCCCTGTTGGATAGACCCTATCAACCTGTTTCTTAGAGAACGGACTCTTCCAACCGACAAAAAGGAAGCACATAAAGTGCGGGTGAAGTCAGAGCGGTTTTGGCTCTCTCCATCCGGCGCTTTATACAAAAAGTCTTTCACCGGTCCTTACTTAAAATGTGTGCACCCAAGCAGCGTGGAGACTTTCTTGTACGAAATTCACGAAGGCATCTGTGGCAGTCACATAGGAGGGAGGTCCTTGGCCTACCGAGCTATTTCACAAGGCTACTGGTGGCCATGCATGCAAGCCGACGCACAGAAATATGTTCGCAAGTGTGAAAAGTGCCAGAAGTTTGCCCACCAGATCCACCAGCCGGCCAGGGAACTTCTTCTCCTCACCAGCCCTTGGCTCTTTGCGATGTGGGGGCTAGATATAGTGGGGCCGCTCCCCACCGCACCAGGTAACCGGAAGTTCTTCATCACCGCCACAGACTACTTCACCAAATGGGTTGAAGCGGAGCCTTTGGTAACAATCAAGGAGAAAGACGTGAAGCGCTTTGTCTGGCAGAATTTGGTCACGCGGTTTGGCGTCTCCAAAATTCTGATCTCTGATAACGGCACCCAGTTTGACGATCGCCTCTTCAGAGGATTTTGTGAGGATTTAAAGATTGAATTCTACAACTCTACTCCGGCTTACCCATAGTCCAATGGTCAAGCTGAGGCATCAAACAAGACCATACTTGATGGTTTGAAGAAGCGGCTGGAGAAAGCAAAGGGAAAGTGGGCTGAGGAACTCCCCACCGTCCTTTGGGCATACCGAACAACCCCTCGACGGTCTACCGAGGAAACTCCATTTGCTTTGGCTTATGGCATGGAGGCGGTCATACCTTTGGAAGTTGGCATGCCCACACTCAGAAGCGAAAGTTTTGTGCCCGAGCTGAACGCCGAGGCCATCGCCTTGGAACTGGATCTAGTGGAAGAGCGACGGGAAAAGGCTCTCATCCACGTGGCGGCCTATCAACAAGAACTTTCAAAGAAATACAACAAGACGATGCACCCCAGACCATTCAAAGTTGGTGATTGGGTCTTGAGGAAGGTCATGGGCAATACCCTAGTGCCAGGAGAAGGCAAACTAGGGGCAAATTGGAAAGGACCCTACAAGATAACCGGTCTGGCGGGTAAGGAGGCATACCACTTGGAGGATCTGGATGGTAGAACAATACCCCGGCCG